GGTCAATTTTGAGATGACCATCCGTCCCCCATGCCCTTACATAGTGCCAATCGCTGTTGATCTATCTAAGTATTGCTCGCTACTGGTCATGGGCGATTCTGGCAGGAAGGATACGCGTTATAAGAAAATGGTCATAAATTCAATGCTAGAGCACCACGTCGACTTTGTGTTGCATTTTTCAGGTAGAATGTTGTTCGGGTAACGTCGTGATTGCCCGTTCTGAGCTCCCCAAAGAGGCACCTCCTATAAGAGATGTAGTTGGGTTAGCTTGGAGTGTAGGTGAGTCATCTGCTCCTACTCAGTTCGTCGTTGGAGTCGGTGCTCGAGACCGAGAGGGTGCCCGTAGAGCGTTGTCGATGGCCTTTGCTCTAGCTTCGAGTACTAGTGATGAACCTAAGGGAGCCAGAGTGTATATTATCTATGTAGGAAGTGGTGTTGTGATGGTAGAGGGGAATGGTGTATACAGATACCAGTTAAGCCTTGGCAATTCGGGCAGGAAGAGGACATATTCTCAATAGGATATAAGAGTAGTACATTGGGTTCCAGTTGTGGACTACTATATGCATCACCTCTAGGTACACTGCTATTGAGCTCAGTTCAGGACGAGATAGCGAGATTAAAGGTACAGTACCCTCGAGTGAAGGTTACGTTGAAGATGGGTAACCCGACTGATAGGAATCATGTACAGAATGAGCTTCTGTCTACAGCTGAGAGGAACGGCAGTAGGGATGGTGAAGGGATGACTAGGTTGCATCGGGAAGACCATTGTGTTAGTACTTTTGAGGTCGGCTAGCAGTACTGATCCCCATGAGAGTGTCACCTGTTCGTATCGATCTCCACCTCTTGTGGTACTAGGGGGTGGGCATAACATCGATAGTGGAGAGCTGGGCTCGGTAGCAAGCCATATGGTTGATAAGGGTAGGAGCAGCTGGGGTGACACTCGTGGTGACACTGGTGGTGACACTGGTGGTGACACTGATCTTGATTAGGTCGATGGCGATCTATCGACACGGTGAGTGTAGCTGTCGCCAAGCAAGGCCTTGACTCGGCATCTCCTGTAGAGCATCCTACTATACCATCGACTGACGTTGTTGAGGATCGTCGGGGTGAGTAATGTGGTCTTCATCTTGGGGTATGTGAGCTCGTTTGTGAACGCATACCACAACTCCCTGATACTTTGGGAATCGGGAGATAGCCACTATGTATAGTATGACGTTGAGATATAGACATTATAATTAAGGCTGGGCTCAAGTCTTGAATATGAATCATGAATTGTT